TGCTCTCCGATGAGAAAGCAGCTAAGCCACTAATCCTCCCAGGTCCTCACTGGCGTGCCGAAGGGTTGCAGACAGGACACAGAGCCCTGTCCTCGTGAGAATCAGGAAACCTACCAGCAGGTTGGTTAACCGTGGCTGCCGAGGTGATGCCAAGATGCTAGGATGACCCAACCCGCCACAGCAAGGGAAGGCCACATGCTGGAAACTCACCCTTTCGCCCTTGAGAAGCTGCCAAGAAACGGCCCCCCCGGAACGGGAGGGGTGAGTGAAAACACTCCAGCTGCCTTTGCACCGATCTGGACACACTCAAAACACAGAACCTTCCAGGGCCCTGACACCTCAGTCATCAGAGGATGAGACGTGAACAGAAAAACCTGGCTTCTAGCTCGACCCTTCCACAACTTAACTGTTCTGGTGACCTGAAGCAGCCAATGTAACGTGACTAGTTGGCAGATCCCTCCATTGAGAAAAGAGCAGGCTGGGTTTGACGCATTCATTTAACTGCTCAAGGCTGACCATCAATAGCTCCCTGATGCCAAGAGGCTTATGTTCATTCCAATGACAATTTTCCTGAGGTTATTTCATCATTGTAATCTCTTTATTCTATTACAATCATTGTATAATATCAGTAGACATTTGCTGTGTTCTACTTTGGTTTGTACATGGCTGCCAGTGAAGAATTTTTGTGTTCATCTTCAAAATAATTCCATGTGAATACTTTTTCTTTTGAGGGGGGGTGATACTGGGGATTGGACCCAGGGCCTTCATTCTGAGCTATATCCCCAGCCCTTTTTTAATTTTTTATTTGAACACAAGGTCTCCCTAAGTCTCCAAGTTGCCCAAGCTGTGCTCAAACTTCCAATCCTCCTGCCTCAGCCTCCCAAGTGCTGGGATTATAGGGATGTCACCATCTCCAGTTTGGCACATTATTTACAGGGGACGAAATGGAGACTTGGAGGGGCTTAGGTGACTTGCCAACGGTCACTCAGCTATGACTACAGGTAACTGAAAAAAGATGAATAAATGCTATCTCTGGATAAACAGCTAAGGTTCTGGCCTCTAAAACTTGAGAAAGCACAATCTATACACATGGGTTAAAATGCAAACGGTACCCCATTAATATGTACAATACTGTTTTTATGCACCCATTCAAAATAAATTTAAAAATTGAGAATAAAACTTAGAGACATGGCAATTGGGAGGAGCAGGAATGTGTTGTCACACACCAGGATAATTAGGGCAGATGGCGAATCACACCCAGTCTCTTCCGCTCTTGCCCAGAGACATTAAGGAGTCTCTTGTTTCTCCACACATGAGAAAGAAGCCACAGGCTCAAACAGGCAATGACACTTCAGCCCAGAGGGGACAAAGACAGAACACAGCGTGATCGATCCCCATCATCCTCATTTCTCCAACGACTTCAAATTAAGTCATCTTTCAGAACAGCACAGCCATTTTAATGTTTTAAAAGATGGGAGGAGGGTGCACCTACATATTTCACAAAATGAAATAATCATCCGGAGCAACAGGAAGAGATAGAATGGACCCATCTTCCTCTCCTGGTCAAGAGAGACTTCACTAATTAACAGCCACTGGTCTCCAAAGAGCTGTCCCTGACTAGTTAATAAGGCCCCATTATATTTCACTTGAGATGTGCACATTTACATTGCAAAGGGGAACAAATGAGCGGCAGGACTCCAAACTCTTTCCTGCGTCACTCATTAAAATTGTAGTCAGGACAGACTCTTATTTACATGATACATTAAAGAACACTGTGACAGGACCAATACCAAACCTGCTCTCTGCTGCCATAGATTTTCTTGCATCTAGAGTTACAGTTTCTTTCCACTAGTCTTGTTTTAACACCTCCACGGAATATTTCTCTGGCGAGTGTTGTTAGCAAGGAGGGAGAGCCAGAAAACAGAGAAATGAATTTTAACTGAGACACAAATGACATATCATTTACAAGATCCTTACCCAGCCCAGGAGAGGAGGGAAGCGGTTCACCTCTTCTGCCACTGTGACCCTAACCCAGACCTGCAAAAGTTTTATGGGTGGGAGATAAACAATCAATAAATAAGGTTTCCCTGCAAGTTCTACACTCTTTCCAGCCGGACTGTGGTCACCGACAGTAACTTCAGTCTGAAACCAAAGCGGGCAGGCTTGAATTTTGTTGGAAAATAACCTTAGACAGAGAAGGCCCTTTCTCCTCTCCTTGCTCCAGTTCCCAACCACCACATACCTGGACAAGTCGCAGGTTGCCTCAGTGAGGCAAAACAACCCCAGAACCATCTAAAAGGATGCCCAAGGGTCGGAGGGAGAGGGAACACAGGCAACATCACACAATGAGTTGACATCACAGCGCGAGGAGACTCACCCTGGCCCAAGAACCCAGAACTTCAGTCTGAGCCTCTGGCTGACATATCTGCTCTATTCAGCTGGCTGACCTCTGGGAGCTCATTTCCTCCTCGGTATCAGAGGGGTGCCGCCCAGCAGCAACCCCACAGGATAGACCCTCAAAATGGGTCTGGTTCTCTCCCACCACTTCTCACCACACCAGTGCCTCAGTTTCCTCATCTATACAATGAAAACAGTACTAGTACCACCCTATTGGGCCCCAGTGAAGACTAAATGGGTCAGTACATAGAAAGTGCCTACAAGAGTGCCTAGCACACACAGTCAATTAGTATCATTCTGTGGAGGGTGGCAGGTATGGCAATCAAACCCAGAGCTACATCTCCAGCCCTTTTTATTATTTTTTATTTTGAGACAGGGTCTTGCACTGAGTTGCCCAGGCTAACCTCAAACTTGCAATCCTCCTGTCTCAGCCTCCCAAAGTGCTAGGGTTGCTGGTATGTAGTCTCACTCCACCTCTCATAGAACTGGTGTGAGGACGTAACAAAAATAGCAAAAACAGTGGTTAGCAATTACATGGCACTGCCATGCTCCAGGCCTTTTTTAAAAAGCATGTTAGTTTTATTTAATCTGCAGAAGGACTCTACAAAAGGAGAGGAAATGAGGTTCTGGGGAAGCTAAACGATGCTTTCCAAAGTCACACAGCTAATGAGTGGTGCAGCCAGGGTCTGAAATCCGTCAAGTTTGCAAACCACAACTACCCTAAAAACCACCAATAACGATGGTGATGATGATGGAGCATGCCCCAAACCCTCAGAGGGAGCTGCTGCTAGCACTTCCATTTTACAGATGAGAAAACAAAGACTTACAGCTGGGATTCAGATGGAGACAGCAAACAGCAAGGTCCTTTGGAAAATGACCTTTGCCATAAAAAGGATTATTATTAAATCCCTAGAATTCCAAGGAAACACGGTCCCCAAATGGTCTGATGTTAACATCTAAAACATCTAAAGTCTGCTGCAAAACAATCCTGACTGGGGCGGGGGGCGGGGAGGGGGGGGTGCACTCTGCCAAGTTGGAGGAACAGTCTGCCTTTTTTTCAAGTTGAATGTATCACTGAGAAACAAATGATGGAATATATTAAAGTAAAATGTTGCCTTCCTACTTTAAAAAGAAAGAAGCTCTGGGTTGGGAGCCCACAACAAAGGGGAGAAGAAAACAGGTCAAACCCATGGTTTAACCAAGTCAAGGAGTTTTTTTCTAGGTTCCCTCTAGTCTAGGGTAATCTGATCTAAGTTCTGAGTGGTCCAGTGACTAACCTGGAAATTTGAAAAGTCACACTTAGGGAAGCAACAGCAATTCCTCCAAACCCAGAAAACACTGCTAATCCTGGAAAGCTTTTCTGAAATGGGAAGCCTCACAAACAGATCGGAAAGCCACTAAGGCAGTTAGGACAATCCCAGAGTCAGTGCTGCTACGGAAGTAATCTAACCTGCTTTGTATATTAATTCCTATCTTCTACTTAAGCATTAGGGGGAAAAATGCCTAAGACAATATTTTGTTTTATTTACCTAAGAAATTGTGGTTCTACCTTTAAAAAAGAGGAGAAAGAATCACTCAATCACGTGGCAGGTCCCAGACATGAATTCTCAAAATATCATCTGCAGCAGCCAACTTTTATTTCCTCATGTGCAAAACCATTTTCCCTTTCACGCAATTAGAAGGTTCCACTCTCTTTTGCTGAAAGAAACTGAATTTGCTAAAGCCACAGCCCTTTCCTTATATGCCCTACAATCAGAAGCCTCAACTTTCCCCTTTACCCCAAGAGTGTCAAGGCGACAAGATGCAGAAAAGTATTTCTTCCAATGTCATACATGGAGCAAAAAAAGCATCCTAAAAAGTGCAAACTGACCAGATTCGTGCAGCTGTGATCTCACCCCCATGCCTGGCAGGCGCAGTGAAAGCGATGTTAACTACAAGCTTCCAAAACAGGGCAGGGCTGCCTCAGCCCCTTCAGGGAGTCCTGCAAGGCCACTGGGGTTACCAAAGTATCAGGACTTCTCCACCCAGGCACCAGTACTGGGCCACAAAAGCAGCACCGCTGGTTTAAGTGTCCCCTGATTTGTCCCACCAACCTGAAACGAAGACATCCCCTGCTTCCTCTCTTACATTTATAGTTTTAGGGCTCTAGGAAGGTGTTTTTTCCAAGAAAATCTGTTTACTAAAATTCTACTCCTTTCCAAAAGCTCCACAGTTGCAAGGCCGCACAAAAAAATGCCTTCCAAAAAGAGTCACAAGGAAATGCTCAACTCTTCCTGATATGATCTCGGCAATGCTTAAAGATGAAATAGAATGCTTGCATAAATATTGCGACAGACGGAGCCTTCCATTAAGGATCAGACTTGTCCCCTTCCAGAGGTGAATGCTCAGAACCCACCCGAGCCGGCTAACTCGGAAGGCACAGGCGCGTGGTTGGTCAGCTCACCAAGCTGCTTGCCTGGACTCTTACTGCCCCAAGCCAGTACCCTAAAAGCACAGCGAACACCAAGTTCCAACAGTCCATTGCCAAAGCTCTGTTCAAAACCTGAAATTCTCACAACTTTTTCTGAGTACTAAAATCCTATCTCCTTGGTTAGCCCACTTACCTTGGGTTGTGCTCGACGAGGAAATGCAACTTTGGGGTCAATCTGGCGGGGGGGGAAATTGAAAAGTAAGAGTCAGTGGAATACTTTGAGAAGAGAAAAAAATATATGATCAATCACCTAATTATTAATCATTCATTTCTCAGGCTTATAACAGCTTTGAGGAACTTCTCAGGCAACTTCAAAGTTCCTTCCATTTTGACCTCAACTTCCATCATCCCTCTCCAAATGGGTTAACACAGCTCGCCTTTTTGAAACGTCTCATCATGCACTTCAGCATGCGATGCTTTCCTCTAACCCCATCTAGTGTATTCTTATTTGGGCAAAGGCTTCTCTTCCACAGGCACTGAATAGAAATGGTACCTGCAGCTAATGTGCAACATGCGGTCAGCAGAAAAGATGAGAACAATGTTACCACAGAAAAAAATCATTACCTGAAAATTAAAAGAAAAGTATCTTTTAGCACTAGGTAACTGGCTGATATTCTTTCTACCACAAGCATGGAAAGGAATTCCAAAAATTTTGAAAATCAACATCTAAAAACTCCCCAAAGACATCCAATGCAATGCTGTTTGAATTAATTCACCTGTGTTGGCAAAATAAAGTTTCAAAATAAAGTTTTCTGGGATTAACTGAAAGGACCATTCATGCTGAAATTATACCTCAGAAGAGAGCAGGTGTCAAATACTACGGAGCCTGCCTTGGCTCTTCAAAGAAATACATTATAATGAAAAAGAAAAGAAAAGAAAAGGATGGCCATGAATTAAATCCTCTTGGATTTTAAAAACTGCAAGGCCATCACAGGGAAGATGAAAAACAAATGAGCAAAAGAAGTCAAGATCTATTGACAATCAGGGTATTCCCCACTCAACTTCAACCCAAATGGAAAAAACTCCTCCGCTGCAAATCAGACCCTGCACAGCACATGATTTTCAGTCAGCGACTGGCTTTACAACTCAAAACAATTCCCACAGAAGCATCTGAATCTACGAGGCTGATGTGAGGACAAAAAAGTTATTGGACAGATAAAATGAGAAGGAAAGGAATAAAAACAGATGCAGCAGGGGCCGGGGAATTAGCTCAGTGGTTTCGCCGCCTGCTGTGCAAGCGCAAGTACTGGAGTTCAATCCCCGGTACCAAAAAAAAAAAAAAAAA